ATTATTACAGTATTACTAGTTACTACTTAGTACTTATCGGGTATTTTATAATATCGGTTCATGCTTTTGGATAGAAATTCAAAGTTTTGAATACATCGGTTATTGGATTTAAATCTGCATAACATATCGGTTTATCAGTTATCACTTATCGGTTAAAAGTGATATCGGCCCAACCCTAGTAAAAATAATTATGGAAAATTTTCCAGTATTATTCAAACACTATAATATTTTGTAAGATTAATAAAATGTAAAAAAATGCAAAATATGCTACAATAATATGCAAAGTACATTAATTTAACTGTTTTAATTTTGCCATTTCACAATATAAAATTATATCTTCATATAAATGCAAGAAGTTCCAAACCCTATTCAAAATAATATTTATTTTAATGTTGTAAAACATTTATTAACTACTAATTAATAATATATTATTATTGGTTAAAGGATTTGTTGAAACGTCAATTTGAAGGGGCAACAATAATGGATATTTTTGGCACAGCCAAAGTCAACGTTAATTTGTTATTGTTTTTATTGAATAAGAAATTTTACTGTAAACATTAAAATCTATCAATGAATATGTATGATTTTGAAAATTATAATTAGCATGTAATAATATCCATACAATATCTTATAAAAAATTTAATTTTTTTACTTATATAATAATTGTATATTTTATAAATAATTTTTAACTGTATTCACTGATCAGTGAACATACTCTGTAATAATTCCAAATAATTGTTTACTCATTATGTTTTTCTWTTAAAATTTAATATTATTTTTATTTTCTGATATTAAATAACCACTGGAAAATAATTATCTAAATGTAATTTTCTATGTTCAATATAATCCGTTTTTATTGGCGATTAAGCTGATTAAACATAATTATTTTGTAGGCAGTTGAGATTARTATGAGTTTAAAACAAAATCTGCTAACAGCGTTTTTCATCACATATATCAAGTACATTTTGTTTTACACTGGTTATTATAATGCTAATTGAAATGTTTATCTATCAATGGAGAATAAAAATAAGTGATCAGGTATATCTAACCTAACCTTACTCTCTAAAAATAACAGTGCTCCAATAATATTTAATAAGAAATTAATATCATAATCATAGTTCAAAGGCCAAAAACTTATTGTATACMTATTATACAATTTTTTACCTACTTCTGAATCGTAATATTTTTAATTGGTCAGTAGTAAAATGTTTAGTACACAATATTGTATCTTAAACATATAATATTAAGATTAAGAATTAAAGTTATGTAATATAAATTGTTTTATTCCACAAAGGTTTAGAAACATAATATATAAATCAATACAATAATTTAATAATATGATCTTGCAAGGAATTTAAGAATTATTTAAATCAAACAATACAATTAAATATTTAGATGATTGTTGTTCATATGTTTATCAAATAGTTTATTGAAATGATAAACATACATTAGCTTTGGGTCAAAGGTAAATGTATGAAACATAAATAATAATTTAATGTAAAACAATTTATTAACCTAGAAACATTATTTTATATTATATACAATTAATAAAATATGTGAAATTAAAAATTGCAAAACATAAATCACTATAAAAATGAAAACAAATATTATTTTAGTAATAATTTTCATGTTAAATACCAAATGCCTATGTCAATGTAAGTAATTATTATTAATTATTATAATATTATATAATAATATTAGGGAATGGAATTCATTTAACTAAAATTATATTTCTAATCTGATAAAAATGTGTACAATTTAAATGAAACCAATTTTGTTTTGCATATTTTGTATAAATTAATTACATTTTTAAGTAATTTCATGTATTGATGGCAATTAAAAGAAATTGCAAAGTTAGTGTAATGCTATCATAAAACTATTGCTAAATTAGCAAAATAATGAACTTATTATGGAGGAAAGTTGTAAAATAAGAAAATGTGTTTTGACCAAAGCTGCCTTATTTGTTAAAGCTAATGACTGGTAGAAATTAAACTGAATTTTTTTCTAAATTACTACATTTACCACATACCATGAAGATCGTAGGTACTTGTTTAGAAGAATTTAGTATTTATAACAATAATATCCATTCTCTAATTATTAGTAAGAATTATAATACCGGAATTAATTTTTCTGCGCTATTGTTAATGTCTAATCGTTCATTTTTTAAGTCTATGCATTTGATGATGACGTACCATCACTGTCAGAAGCTGATGAACGAATAATAAATTTGACATTGTTGACAAAAAATGTTCTAGAACATTATCAAAACCCAGATCCTGTAGGATTACCAGAAGCTATAGTACCACCATACTCAGACCCTGAACCTATACCTGATAATGAAACCCCTTTGTGGAGTATGCACAACTCAACAATGAGAGGTCATTCGAAATTCAGATTAAAAAAATTATACGTAAATTTGGTTGATTTACAGGTGTGTACAATTATAAATTACCTAAAAAATATTAATTTGATTGTCTAATTATTTTATATCATATTTTATTTTATAGTTAGAATTTGGAATATCAATTGATACATTAGTGGTAGTAGGTAATTATTCATATTGGAAAATGTATGATGGATATTATAATGTAACACTCATACAACTACATATTGATGGTCACTTGAGTCTACAAGTAAGTGAGACAGGACATCTGGAGACTAATAATTTGAATATGAATATGAACTATGATAGTTTACATATGGATACAGATAAGTTAAATATACCATTTTATGACAGTTTTGTTAATAGCTTTACACATTTTGTTGTTCAAACTATTAAGCCCATCATTATGAAACTGATTAACGTAATGATAAAAGAAGAACTTAATCAAAAAATGAAACACTTTAAACGTTTTCCTAATACAATACCACCTGTGGATTTGCTGATAGCTGAGAGTCGTCAACAAATAAAATCAATGGGATTTGATCCATGGCGCGTGGAAGACTTAGTAAATGCAGTAAATTTCAATATATTTAGTTTGGATGTTAATGAAATATGGATATCTGGCTTATCTAGTATATATAGATTAGGAGATATTCATATAAGTATACAGAATCAAACAATTATATCAGTCATACATATAGGAACTCAGGAACTAAAAGGTCATTGTCAATGGAAAATTGGAGCAGCAGGAATACTAAAAACGACAGGCGTTTTAAGTTTTTCAATTGATTATATACAGCTTGAGGCTAATGTAACTCAGCCAATGGACACCAGATTGGCTCCATTTTTAAATGAGTTTGGTTTATCGGTAGGAAACATTCAATTACGTATGGATGGAGCAGGTACACTTGATTATTTAGCTGAAGCTCTTGTCAATATTTTTCCCAATATTTTAAGAAATAAAATAGTAGATGCAATGGAACTTCCTATTAAGAAAAGAATACAAGACTTTTTAGATAAAGTTGATGTGCAAGAAAAAATTGAACAAAGGATTCCACCAATAATAGATAAAATGATGGAACATAATATCACAGACATATTTAAAGAGAATGAGATATTACATGAAGATATTAATATTGTTAGTAAGGAAGATTTTTAGCATACATATTCAGAAAACTCCTATAGAAAAATTAAAAAATAATAATAAAATATGAGAAACTATTTTAACTGTGATATTAGGGACATACAATTTTGGGACAAAATATAATTAGAAGCCTATTATTTATTTATTTATTGTGTTTGTGTATTAAAAATTAAAATAAATACAAAATATTTTCAATCAACTTTATATGAATAACATATTTAAAAGGGAATACAAACATCTATATTAATCAGACTTGCTCAAATTTTGTAACATTTCAAGCACATGATTACCTAGTGGCTCATCTTCATTAGCCCAAGAAATTACAATTTTCTTTTTATTATTATCCATACCGTCTTCTACAGTCACTAAAATTGATGCTAACGATATTGATCCATCAGACATGGTAAGTTTGTTTTTAAAAATTGGCAAATTATTTTCCAGCATATCATATAATTTAGTTTTAGTTTTTTGGATTGTAGAAGATTCTTTAATTTCCACCGTACAAGTAAATCTGAAAATAATAACCATTTAATCAGCAATAATTTTAACAAAACAATTTGTTTGATCTAACTTACTACTTGAATTGTTTAAATATTACAGATTAATCATTTTTTTTTTTTTAATAATTATAATAAAATAGTTTGAGTTAGTCAAGAGTTCCCAATTTTAATTGTATATTTAAAAAATAAATCAATTCACACTCAATTTAATGCATATTCACAAAAAAAAAGGTTTAATTTTTTAGTTAGTACTCAGTAATAAGCAGAAACAAACATTAAATATTATTATTCATAAACAAACCTCAAGGTGTGTCGTTGAATATCCAATTCTTTGAAAGTATCTTTCACACTCATGGCATTTAAATTAGAAGAACCATTTTTTAAAAGAAATGCTCCATGAACCAATCGTTTTCCATTTCCCAAATTATTTGACTGATCATCTAATATTTCTTTAACTAGTTTTGTACTCATATTGAATGTATGTATGTTTGCTGTTTCAATTTCTACAGTTTCCCCATTAGCAGGCATGTAACAATTTATGTTAAATTCTTGCATTATTTTAGCTCTGAGAAATTTCATTTTTTCTTCTTCACCATGAACCAATAACACGTTTTGAGGTTCACAGTTTTTAATTAGTTGTATGATACCCTTACCATCAGCATGAGCTGAAAATGATAAATATTCAACTGACATTTTAACGTCAATAAATTTATTTGGTTCAGCTTCAATTTTTTTAGAACCGCTCAAGACTTTATTACCAACAGTTCCAGAGACACAGTAACCCGGCACGATCAACATGTTTTTTTCATCAGGAGCCCACTTTTTAAATATATTCAACGACAAGCCAGCATGTAACATACCAGGTGTTGCAAATACCACCATAGGACCAGGATTATGCATATATGTCTTATCAAATGGTTTAATATGCTTGAAATCAAACATATTTCGTTGAACAAATGTTTGCCTGACTTTTTGATTTGTCCAAGTTATAAACATTTTATAATAACTATTAGCTTTCTCAGTTAAGCCTGCTGCAAAATAAACAGGAACTTTAAGACCCATTCGATCCCAGTAAGTGTCAATAAGAATACATAACTCTTGAGCTCTTCCTAATGCAAAAATTGGTATCAATACTTTGCCACCTCGATCTATACATTCATGTACATTTTTCAAAAAGTCYCGTTCCCTACATCGCTTTGAATCCCTTATTGTTGTGGCATACGTTGATTCTGTAATAAGTAATGTTGGTCGACATTTGTCAATCCAAGCAGCTCCTAAATGCCGGTCAGGAGTCATAGAAAAGTCTCCAGTATATACCACAGAGTCATTTCCAACTTTAATATAAAACATGGCAGCTCCCAATACATGGCCTGCATAATATGCTTTTAATTCTATGTCATCTTTAACAGTCACAACTTCATGTAGATTCACTGCGGTTACTTTCTTCATGCAATCTCTAATTGCACTTGATGTAAAATATTTCGCTTCTTCTTCATATTCAACTAAATGTTTACGCATATCTTCTAATAGAATCGGAGCAATTGCTTTTGTAGGATGTGTCATATATATAGGACCATGATAACCAAGGTGTTCAGTTAAATAGGACAGTGCCCCACAATGATCCAAATGAAAATGTGAAATAATTACACAGTCAATTAAGTCTGTAATATTACCATCAGATGTAATATATGAGAAATCGGGAAATTTCCGTTCATCTTGATAGCCCATATGCATTCCACAATCAAGCATAATATTTCGATTACCAATTGTTATTAAGATACAGCTACGTCCAACATCTTGACCAGCTCCCAACGGTGTGACTATGATACGGTTGCTGATATTCATGATTAYGTTAGGTGTTTATAATAAACTAAAAAGAACAAAACCAACCTTGAAATTAGTAAAAAAAAAATGAAGTATATAATATTGTTTAAATTATTACAAAAATAAATTTGAACAAATCTAATTTATGTAAACTTTTACATTTTCGATTTTAAAATAACTGCCGACTAACAGATTCAATGGACTAATTCTGAAGATGCATGCCAATGATTAATAAACATCAAAAATCTATTAGCCTTATTATAAAATTATTTTTTTTAAATAACAAGATTTTGAAAGTTTAAATTGGTTTTGCTTAAATATATTATATTTAAATATTAAAAGGGATTTTAAATATTCTGTAATATTATTCTATGATATCCTTGTCAAGGATTCCTTGATAGTAAAGTTGATACTGGCATACTGCCGCAAAATAATAGAATATATTTGTTACTGATACCACAGATTATATAAAATTATTATATAATAATAATATAAATAATATAATAATATAAAAAAATTAAATCTAATAATAATAATAATTATAAAATAATAAATATAATAATATATAATATTATTATATAAAATCTGTGCTGATACCATAGACATAATAATATAATATTTATATGTCTATGGCTGATACTCTGTTAGACTGTGGTCATACCCATAGATATTCTTTAATATCTATGGTCATACCTTATACCATAGAATATAACAATATCAATAAATGATGATACTGATAAAATTTGGTGATAACAAATAGTCATCTCGGTTTTCGGTATAGAACTATAGAGTATAGACTATAGAGAATTAGAGAAAGAGAACAGCAGTAGTGCAGAGTGCAGACGTGCAGTACAGCACATGGAGTATGGGCCGATGGACCTAAAGACTAAGACGTGGACAGTATACACGATAATATTATAATWTTATTTTTGGCTCCCCAATGTACCAACTAAATCCACTTTTTAATCGAACCAGGAACGGAAGTCGAAAATCGAAGCACTTATACTGCCCCAAAACGAGACCACCAAAAAAAAACACATCATGGTAAAATCAATACATTCTTCGCTCCGCTCAGAATCTAAAAAGATTGGTCAATGTCTAACATAAACTAATGTAAAATATTAACATCTTTAATTGCGTTCTGGATTTTTTTTAAACGTACTCCTATTGAACCTTGGAATAAAGCCTCATATATTTTTTTTAAGGGGATAGTGGTGAGAAATAATATAGACGTAAAAAAATATTTGAATTTATTTGAAATTTGATACCATGGACTTTGGCATAACATTCATCACTTTTAAGAAGTTCAAACCTACTACTTAGAACCTATGTGTTATAATTAAGGTTTTGAAATCAAGCTTTATCCTGTCCCCTCCCCTATTACCACGGAACATGTTTAAAAATTTAGAGTGATACATAAAAGTTTGAAGTCAGGGGGAATAAAGTATATGGTATAAAAAATATGGAAAAAGATACAAAAGTTAGATAGGTACTTAAGACCATAGATATAAGAAAAAATCAAAAAATTGCACGCAAAAAAGATTATTCATTTATAGACTTTGTGCGAGAATTATTGCCAACTTTGCAAAATCAATACCAGCCAACCAAATTTATTACATAGAAATTAGTAATTATGCATAATGTTGTGAAGTTTAAAATTTATCCCGTTTCRGAGGCCATGCTTGGCATTCTGGCAATACTATAAATGCTAAGTCACTAGGCTAGGAGTTAAAATGTGAAGTTTAATATGAACTTCCCTCCAATTTCCCGTTGTAACTTTTATAATCATTTTATTTTAATACTTACTATAGAAGTTTGGTAGTTTTCAATGTTGTAAATTTGTAATATAGTATTAAAATTATTAATGACTATTGTATTTTTCATATATGACCATTTAACATATATATATACGTTTTATTGTTCTGTACCTCTGAGGTTGTATTGAGAAATTGATAATGTGAGTATGTGACAAAAATGCAACTTAAAATTATCGTAATTATTTTTGCCCAATGTGCTCTCATGAAGGCATGACACAAAGATATGTATGATGAAATAATAATAATTTTTTATAGATATTTGTGTTCCTACACTATGTCGCACTCAGGGCCGTATTTACGCCTAGGCCCGTGAGGCCCTGGCCTAGGGCGGCAAATTTTTTGGGGCGGCAAATTTTGTAAGAAATAAAAAAAGAATCATATGAATGCATGAAATATTTATATGATTTTTTTTTAGATATCTGTATGTAAAATATACGGGCGCATGAAACTGAAAATGTCACTAACCCGAAATCAATTTTCTCGTAATGTGAGCTATAAAGATAAGATACCTACCTAGGTATATAATAATATAAGTTGTTCCTA